TTATGCCAACAGCAGCCTCACACACCTCATGCTTACTGCATCTCTTCATTGCATCATTGTCTTGTTTGATTTAATCTCATGTTTTGTACACATGCTGGTTTGTAGCCTAGGAGGAACAGGCTATATCATATAGGCTATATATACTACCTAGGTTTGTGCAAGTGAACTCTGTGATGTCCACAAAACAGTAAAATCGCCTAAGGAGGCATTTCTTAGAACGTATCCACGTTGTTAAGCAATGGGAGACTGTGTATAGCAGGTCCTCAAATAACGTTTTCTTCAACGTGTTTTTGTAATTTTAATGAGGAAAACAGATTCTCTGTGAGGCCACTGTCTGTGTGGGGTTGGCACGTTCTTCTCACGAATGCATGGGTTTTCTCTGGTGACTCTGATTTCCTCCCACCTCCCAAAGCTGTGCACTTGAGGTTAATTGGCTTTTCCCAGTGAGTGTGGGTGTGAGCATGTGTGTGATGGAAGGGCATCCTGTCCAGGGCTGGTTCCCCTCTCACTGGGCTGCTACAACAGGCTGCTGCTACAACAGGCTTCACACACATGTGACTGTGAATTGGAATTGGCTAGTTGGAAAAAAAATCTTATTATTGATCTTTCTTGAATGCATGTACAGCTCATATTTATTTCCATGTTTTTGTTTTTTTCCTGTTTTATTTGAAAGACAACCCATCCACCCAAAGAATGATTAATTTTGTGTTGTTAAGATCAAGTTTGAAATCTTTTTTTAAAAGATTTTATTTATTTTAGAGAGATGGGGAAGGGAGTGAGAAAGAGGGAGTAAAACATCAATGTATGGTTGCCACTAGCACACCCCATACTGGGGATATGGCCTGCAGCCCAGGCATGTGCCCTGACTGGGAATCAAACCGGTGATGCTTTGGTTCACAGGCCTGCGCTCAATCCACTGAGCTACACCAGCCAGGGCCCTATTTCCATGTTTCATATTAAGTATTTTTGTGTATTTATTCATAAGTTTGGTGATGTTTTTGTGACCAGAAATATGCCATAAAAACTTAACTCTTGTTTCTATCGATTTGCCTGTGGTAGAATTCATGTCATTATACATCCTTCTACTTAAAGTCGCAGTTGCCAAGAACCTATTGACAGAGTTAAGTGAGGACTTACTGTACGTACTGGCACACGTACCCCACTGGTTCCACTTTTCTGGAGAATTCTGACTAATGTGGATACCTACTGTTGACACCTGGCCCTCAAGTCTAGAGTAACTTAAATTTGGCCTAAGACTCCAAAAGGGAAAAAAATCTCCACATATATTGCAGATTCTTTTCCAGTACTTTGGGATACCATCATGTCAAAACATAATTCAACCAGATACTCCAACCTGTCACTTCATCAACTCCTGTCACTCAACTTTTCCAAACTTCAGCATTTAATGACACTTCGGAGAGAAAAATTCTCTTCTAAGGATCATATACAAAACTACCTGCTCCTGTTTTTCCCCTTCCTTCACTCTTCGCAACCTCCTCTTTCTTTGCATCTCTCAAAGACACCAGTTGAAGAGATAAGGAAGTGTGACAGTTCTACGGGACTCAAGGTCGAGAGTCACCTTGAAAAATGTGCAAAGCTACTAAAAATGTAGTAAGGTTTCAAGGAATTCTGACTTAAGTAAAGTTATGCCCTGAGTACTCCAGATGAGAGATGATGATGGCTTAAATTGGGGGAAGTTGGAGGAGAGGTGAATTTAACGGTTAAATTTGGGATACAGTCTGGAGAGAGCCAAACAACTTACTAATATGTCTGAAGTAAGTAGGTAAAAGAAAGAAGGAATCCAAAGATTAAAAGAAAAAATATTGCTCTAAGAGAAACTAAATAAATAATTCAACAACCAAGAAGAAATCCCAGCTTTAATAATTGTAAAATAACCCAAAGGTTTGGTAATGGTAAATTTGTTTTATAAAAGCAAGGATTATTTTCCTCAAACTGTGATGTTATCCTACTTGGATACAAGCATTATGCAGATACATACCAGTGCTACTGTACACAGTAGGCACTCAAGGAATATTTTTGTATGAAAAAAAATGATGGCAATTTGTTTAGCATATAATGTCAAAATACCATACTTTCCTTTTTCTTTCTTCTCCCTCTTGTCCTTAATTTGGGATTGCCAGGCAAGCAAAGGGTAAATATGGTGATTTTCCTGCTTTCGTTGAGCAGTCTTTTAGTAGCCTAGGCCATACACAATTATCAATCTTATGCTTTGAAATTTCAATTCAGAGCATTACCTTATAAAAAGCAATTTAAAAAACATTACCAGAACCAGATCGTAAGGAGAGTGTTTTAAGGCTAGCATATTGATCGGTAGGTAAAAGGGCAGAATGTTTTTCAGGGAACAATACATCAGTCTCTGACATGATTTTCATTCCATGAATGTCTTTCCCAAGAAAGCAAACCACTTAAGGGGAGAATAAAACACTGGTAAATGCCGAAGTTCATATTTCCACGTGTTCTTTAGAATTATTTAAATTTCTAACTTCTTTGGGTCATTAAAAGGATATAGCTCCTAATAAAAATGAAAGTATAATTCCATTTGGAAACTTTATCACACATTGTATGTCAAAATGAAGTTAACACAAAAAATTTTTTAAAATAGGGTTTCTCTAAAGCTTAAATGTAAAGTGAGGCAAACAGACCTATACTTTTACAACAGATGGAAACCCAGAACATTCCCCAGGATAACTAAAACTGAATTTTGTGTTATATTTTATGTCTGAGACATCTAACCAATACAAATTGATGGCTAAGGTTTTTCTTTTTTTAAAATATATTTTATTGATTATGCTATTACAGTTGTCCCATTTCCCCCCTTCTCTCCCCTCCACCCTGTACCCCCTCTCCCACCCACGTTCCCCCCTAGTTCATGTCCATGTGTGATACTTATGAGTTCTTTAGCTTCTACATTTCCCATACTATTCTTGCCCTTCCCCTATCTATTTTCATCCTACATTCTATGCTACTTATTCTCTATACCTTTTCCCCCTCTCTCCTTCTCCCACCCCCCTGCTGCTAGCCCTCCATGTGCCCTCCATTTCTGTGGTTCTGTTCCTCTTCTAGTTGTTTAGTTTCCCCTTAGTTTCTTTTGGTTTTCCTTTAGGTGTGGTTGTTAATAATTGTGAGTTTGCTGCCCTTTTACTATCCATGTCTTTTCTTTATCTTCTTTTCTTAGATAAGTCCCTTTAGCATTTCATAAAATAAGGGCTTGGTGATGATGAACTCCTTTAACTTGACCTTATCTGAAAAGCACTTTATCTTCCCTTTCATTCTAAATGAGAGCTTTGCTGGATAGAGCAATCTGGGATGTAGGTCCTTGCCTTTCATGACTTGGAATATTTCTTTCCAGCCCCTACTTGCCTGTAAGGTCTCTTTGGAGAAGTCAGCTGACAGTCTGATGGGAACTCCTTTGTAGGTGACTGTCCCCTTATCTCTTGCTGCTTCTAGGATTCTCTCCTTCATTTTTACCTTGGCTAATGTAATTATGATGTGCCTTGGTGTGTTTCTTCATGGGTCCAACTTCTTTGGGGCTCTCTGAGCTTCTTGGATTTCTTGGAAGACTGTTCCCTTTGCCATATAATTCAGATGTTGGAACGTTTAAAGGTGTCCTGGATGCTCTTAAGCTTTTCCTCGATTTTTTGAATTCTTATTTCATCATGCTTTCCTGCTTGGTTGATTCTATCTTCCTTCTGGTCCACTGTATTGTTTTGAGACTCAGTTTCCTTCCTTTCACTATTGGCTCTCCTCCGCGTATCTTCCTGCATCTCTTTTATGGTAACCTGCATCCTTTCATCTAAATTGCGCCCAAAATCAACCAATTCCGTGAGCTTTCTGATCACCAGTGTTTTGAACTGTGCATCTCATAGATTGGCTATTTCTGGGTCGCTCAAAAGAATGAGTCCTGGAGGACTGATCTGTTCTGTTGGAAACATGTTTTATGTCTTTCCCTGTCTTTTTTTTTTCCGGTCTGGCCGCTCTTGTTACGGTGCGGGGCGGAGCCTTAGGTGTTCACCGGGGCTGGGCACCCCAGTCCCTAGATTGTGACGTTATATGTGGGGGTGGGGGCGGGAGCGGGGATGGGAGGGAACAATGGCGGTAGTTCTGTTCTCCTGGGCTCAGACCCTTCTCTGGGATCCTGGGCTGCGAGCTCTGCCCTGGTCCACAATCGCTGCCTCACTGGGTCTGCCAGCCACAGCTTGTGTACTCAGGGATCACCGCTGCGTTGCTGCTCCCCGATGGCTGTCGTGCAGATTTCGCGCCAAATTTTCCCCGACCTCCGCACGCTGCCGACCTGCGCCAGCCCCGCGCCCGCCCGGCTTGTCCTCTCCTACCAGTCTGGATGTACGGGCTTACTTCAACTTCTTGGCTGTCCGACTTCCATTCAAATAAATCCTCTGACAGTTCTGAGTGTTATTTTGTCTGTAAATTATTGTTGTTCTAATCTTGGTTGTGGGAGGAAGTATGGTGCGTCCACCTATTCCTCCATCTTGCTGGAAGTCCCAGGTTTTTCTACTAATTGTTTTTTCATATCTTCCCTTTCCAACATACAAATTTAACAATTCAGTGTTTCTCTCAATCCGATGGATAAACATTCCAGAATGTATATGATTTTTATAATTTGCTCTGTCACTTGTAATTTTCTTTAAAAGGTTTTATTTATTTTTAGAAAGAGGGGAAGGGAGGGAGAAAGAGAAGCACAGAAACATGATGTGTAATAGATATATCGATAGGCTGCCTCTCACATGCCCCCAACTGGGGACCTGGCCTACAACGGAGGAATGTGCCCTGACTGGGAATCGAACCAGTGACCTTTTGGTTCACAGGCGGGCACTCAATCCAAAGAGCCACACCAGCCAGGGCTCATTTGCAGTCTTAAGTGTGTGTGCATATGTTGTCTACTATTTAATCAAAACAGACAATAATAAATAATTATCAATTCATGGAACCCAACATACATACTCTGACACAAGAAAAAAAGATAAGTTGTCACTAATAAAACGTTTATTTTACATTAAAGTTTTCAAAAATACATTTGTGAAGTTACCCCTCTATTAGGCATAAAGATAGCCTTTACAAAGAGTTTGCAAAATTGCTTTCTCTTAACTATTAAAGTACATAGATTTAAAAGGTTTTAAGGAAAAAAATGTCAATTCATGGTCAATGGTTGAAGAATTAATACACATTATATCTGTAGGATACCTTAGAAGATTTTATCTTAAAAACATGTAGAGAGAAAAGCTGTATTTTCTTTTCAGAAAGCTTTACTCTTCAATAGTGTTTACTAAGAAACGTACACTGCATATCACACTAACAATGACCTTCTCAAAATTTATCTATTAGCCTTGCAAATCAATCAGCCCACACAGAAGACAACAGGAAATTGCTATCCAATACACATTAACTCCTTAAGTTTCCTGATAGTATGAAAATAAAAATTTAGTCCATTCCAATTAAAAATACAAATTATCGATATTAAAGATAAGATAGTACTGAATTATTTTTAACAACACAAAAGGTCAAGCATTCCAGAAGCATAAACTGTGTTATTAAAAAAAAAAGACAATATATTTATCTAACCAATGCCTCACAGAAATTTGGAATATTTACATACGCTGTAACACTGTAGAAATCTTTGGTGGTGACACATGGAGTAAATTCCCTGAAAACACTAACAGTGTTGTTCCATCAATCTGTGTAGTCAAGTATTTATCATTAGTAATGCTGGCAGTATCACTTGCTAGCCAAATCCACATGTATAGTAAAGTGTATAGAGGAAATCTTATGCAGGACTTAGGTTAGCAATCAGGCTTATTTCTGGCTCATTTTTATACCAGAAAAAATATGGTAAATTAAAGTACAGAACAATTCTTACTTCCAAGTAAACTCTGAAAATAGTTAACATTATTGAACAAGTTGAATGCATATATGATAAAAGGGCTACAATTTCTGCATAAACTTTACCAGCTACCAAAATAGGCTTGTGCAGCATGTGATGCCCATTCGCCAGGTGGTGGTAGTGGGGAAAGCAAGGCACTGTGGTCTGGGGACAAATATACCTTTTTTAAAAGCTGCAGACTCAAAAGCATAGAAACAAAAAATGACCTGCTGTACCTTAAAAGAAACTAAAATTTATAAGCTTATTATACAAAGTTCAAAGGAAAGGGCATGCTAAAACACATAAGAAACAAAATTTACAAAATGTAAGAAAAGGAGAGTAAGAAAATAACAACAGCAAAATGACATCACTGTATATAAGGATATAAGCAGCAGAATATATCAGAGGAAGCATTGTAAGTGTGAAGAGAATTAAACTCAAGGACTTGCATTACCTCTTTGAAACTGGTGTTGTCTTTGATTAAATGTTTTGATTCTAAAGTGTGGAGGGATTCATAATTCTTCCAATTTAGAAAAGTACGAGTTTACTGTGATTAAAGAATAGGTATGATAATGAAATTAGATTTCAAAATGATTATAACAGTGCAAATCAGCCCCCACAGGTAATGTTTTTGACCCAAAGTCACTCTCATAACATTGTCAGGCAATTTGAGATGACACTGCCTCATGCAGGAAAGACAAACATGGCACATAGCATTTATACTGATAAGTCCAGGATCATGTAATATAAATAAAACTCTTTCAAAGTTTATAATCAGAATTCATGGGAGTTTTGAACACAAAGAGTCTTTCCAGAAACTAAAATTAGTAAAGTAGATGGACGTACTCATAGAAATAAACTGGGAGAAAAGAAATTGAAATGAATTTTTACTTGGTGTTACATATTAAGAATGTGAGATAATCTAGGAAATATTTTAAGACTTGTATCAAGAGAAATGTCTGAATTACACTAAGGTGCTCCTGAGTAAATATTCTGTTCTCTCCCACCAATTTGAGGAGGTCCTGAATATACACTGTCAGCTGACTTCATTTCTTAAAAGGTAGAAAAGTCAAAGATCTTACAAATCTTTCTCACTGTTTTTACTTTTGGACAAACAAGTAGATTTATCAAGTAGATTGCCTAGAGAAGTATAATTGTACAAATTTCATTACTGATTACTAAAACCATCACCAAATATATTGACTTATAGTTCATAATGCATAGCTATCAATGCAACCTAAAAATGCCTCAGTCTAGTAATTAAAAAATATCTTGGATTAAAAAATGGTATTTTTCTAATATCTATTCTAATAGCTTCTAATATGTGATATTAACAACATCCTCATTTTCCACTGGCAACTATCTTCAGGAAATTATTCCAGCCAAAAAAGAAGTGATCCAAGTTATTCTAGTTAATGCCAGATTTAGAAATCAGCAGCACATATAAGTGCCAAGCTTGTGAATAAACTGGCTGCTGGATATTGTCACGAATTAGAAAAGACCTAAGTGCCATACTGGTCTCTAACTCTATTTCACAAAAGCAACCACTTTTAAAATCTGAGAATGTAACCAGTGTTAATAAAAACATGCTGAGTTCAACTCTACAATGTACAGCCAAATATATAAAACTGGTTAATCATTTAAATAATTTCTTATCTGTAAAGAAGATAATTAAGAAGAGTTAGAACCAAACAACTAGCTATATTTTTATACTATTAAAATCAAGCAAATTTAGCAAATGAAACCCACAGGAAAAGAGATGATGTAATTCAAGGCATAAATTTGACTTGTCAGAATATGACAAATAATAAAGATAGTGTCCGTAAAACTTAAAACGTACAGTCATAAAATAAGTAAACAATTTTCAAGTGTGCAAAACTAGTCACGAACAAAAGTGCTATGTGGATACCTGGTTTTCAAATATTTGTTTTGAAAACTTTCAGCTGATGGTGGAAAAACTATAAAGTATTAAAAAAGTAAAAATTTAAAGAATATATAAAACATACCTTATCTCACATTATGCCTTGTACTATCACTGCTGCATTAGAGGTCTATTTAATTACTATCCTCATGTGATAGCTATGACATAAATGGAGGTAAACAATACAATAACGCAAAGACTGATGTATCTTGAACCATAAAAAGACTCTTTTCAAGTATACTGTGGGTTTGTGCTTCCTCTTACAGCCCAGGCACTCCATGTTTTTGATGAATTTGAAAATAGATAACACAGTTTTCTATTATTTCTGACATATATATATACACACATATTTTGCATAACTACCTTTAGTAGTCAACATTTGAAAGTAATTATTAGAGAAATAAAAAAGTATTTAAATTAATGAAAATAAACCCTATCACTGCCACAATTTAAAGAATTATTTTAGTGCACAAATCCTGAATGTATGATGTTAGAAAAAAAGGTTGGTGCTTTAGCATAATTTGTCTTGGGATACTTGAAGTGTACATGACTAAAAATACACCTGCGGTCTCTTCTTCACTCTGTATTTTAGTGACCCATACCGCACCTGAAGAGAGAAATGGGTTATTATTACAAATTAGATGATTACTTTTTAGAACTATGTAAGATTTAATAGTTCATACACTAATAATTTTTAACTTTTCTGATAAAAAGAATCAATTATCCTATAAGTGTGTACTCAAAAGATAATTCTGTTTATATACTAAAAAATATGGCTGGTTCCATATTGGATATACACTACAGATTATTATCGTTATTAACAGAAATACTAACTGTTATTATTTATGCTCTGCTTGGTACGTTGCTCAGAGTAATTAATCTGAAGCCATTTGTTGGAATCATTCACTGCTTTCTGGGCACAAAGACAATACATGATTAATTATAAATAAACTTTTACTATTTAATCCTCATGTAGGATTGGTTCAAAGCAAAGCTATGTAGTTAATTTTTTTTGCTTTCTTTGCTTCTGAGTAAGGCTGGCATTGGGTACTCACGGCAGCCCTATCATTTACTATGCAAGATTACCATGTCTACGTATAGTGGGAGACTAGGAATTCACCATCTTTAAAATTTTCAGAGATCCTAAGATATCTGATCTGAATAAAGAATTTCAAATATAACTGTGGGTCTACCATTCCAAACCTTCATTTATGGACCGTTAATATCATGAATGATAGTACAGCAGGGAAATCCTTTAATATTAATCATTAGGAACACTCTGTAATTGACTAACCTCTTTGCGGCCTTTCACGGTTTTCACAGATTTCATGCTTTGTGATCTTCGAAGCCCTTTGTGTGTTAACATCTCATCATCTGAATATGGCCCACTTGCCTCTTCATCTGTTTTCTCATCTCCGTCTTTCAGTGGAATTCCATAGTCTAAATGAATTGTCAAAACCAGCATGTTTTGGTAAAAAGATACGTGTCAGTAATGCCTCTTAACTCTGCAGATCTCTGCATGGTCTGCATTTACCTGGTTACTCCTCTCCCTTTCTCATCTGTAATGCTCTCCCTACCCTCCATCATTAATCTTTGTCCCTTGCACTATTCTAAATGAAACTCACAACCATTTCTTCCAGAAGTTTTCCCTGACCACTCCTTTTTACTATGCGTTTTTCAGTAGGTAACACATTTATCTTGTTAAAAAAAAATCAAAGAATAAAAATAGATATATAGTGAAAAGTCTCTTCCTGCCTTTTTTCCTTTTACTGAATTTTAAATAACCTAAGCAGTTGTGTGTTTTAGTTTATAATTTGTACCTTTGACTTTAATTAGGAATTAAGAGTTTTCTCCACTCCATTTGTCAAACCTTTTGTCAAGATTGGGAATGGCAGGGTGAACTTATGGAGTCATATAAGACCCAAAAGAGCTAGAGTTTTGGGTAAGTTAGGTTCACTGGGGGCAGGTGATACTTGTTAAACCAACACCTCTAAAGCTGCTGAGATAAAACACAGCCAGACAGGCTACAATAATCAGAAACACCACAGGCTACGATGACAGATGTTACTCAAAGAAAAGAGGCAGCATCAGGAAGGGCAGTAAGAGACTGGGCTGCTAATAGGCTGCTCTGTGAGCTACAAAGACCTAACATTAGCAAATAAGCAAACTTCTAGGCAGTCAGGCTGATTATTGTCAGGAAGTCTGAGAGCATCCTGACATTGGAATTCAGGGAACAGAAAGTTCCTATTCTTGAAGCAGATGTTCTCAAAATTTAGCCAATTATTAGTCACCTGGGGAACTTGTTAGTTAATACACAGATTGCTGGGCCTGAGATGAACCGAGGATCTACGTTTCTAACAAGTTCCCTGCTGATGCTTGTGTTATTGGTCTAGGGCCTTCACCTTAAGACCCATTGCCTGGATGGAGCAAAAGAGGGGCTCAAGTCTAATGCAACCAGAGTACTAGGTAGGTTATAAAGACAGAGGTATGGTTGCAAGTTCCCCTTAAGTTTCATTTCTGTTAAAAAGGAACATAAATACCTGAATCTTTTTTTAAAAGATTTTATTTATTTATTTATTCTTAGAGAAGAAGGAAGAGAGAAAGAGAGGGAGAGAAACATCAATGTGTGCTTGCCTCTTGCGCATCCCCAACTGGGGATCTGGCCCACAACCAGGCGTGTGCCCTGACTGGGAATCGAACCGGCGACCCTCTGGTTCACAGGCTGGCTCTCAATCCACTGAGCCACACCAGCCAGGTCTAAATACCTAAATCTTAAGGTGAGAAAAAGTAGCAGATTTTCTAGGATCAGAAGGGGTAAAGAAATGGACTTCTTGAATGTGAAGAAAAATATACTAAATAAGTGTCATTAATCTGCTCTCCCAGGACATGTGTAACTTGAGACTCACTAAGCCAACCACAAACAGCTATTAATAAGCTTCTTAGTCTCATAATAAGATAAACATCTTTGTATAATAAGCAAGTACATAATAAGATAAACATCTTTGTATATTAAGCTAGTACAATTTTATGCTGCCAGACTTCTAGGCTAGAGATTAGGAAGGATTCAAGAGTAGAATCAGTCATTATTGAGGCTGAGATCCTTTGGTTTTCCTGCAGCAGTCCAAGGAAGTGTGTTCCAGGGAGAAATGGCAGCAGGAGCAAAGGTGGGGGGCGGGGTGGCAGGGGAAGTGTGGCTGCTTGGAAGAACTGTGAGGAGGCTGGTGTGGCCTGGGAAGGGGATAGGAAAATGCTCCTTGTGCAGTATTAAGTGGGAAAAAATGTACATGTAGAAACAAAGAAAGAAAAAACATAAAAATGAAACCACTGCATCCCCTGAAGTGGGCTTTTGGGTGATATTAAGTTCATTATTCTTTTTTTTTAATTTGCCAAATATGTATTTTAAAGATCGTATTACTTCTGCCTGCCTTGGCCAAGTAGCTCAGGGGGTTACAGTGTTGCCCGGATATGCCAAGGTTGCTGTTTAGGTCTCTGGTCAGGGCACGTGCAAGAAGCAGCCAATGAATGTATAAACAAGTGGGGTAATAAATCTACGTCTCTCTCTCGCTCTCTCTCTAAAGTCAATAAAAATTTTAAAAAATAAAATTGTATTACTTCTATAATTGGGGACAATAAACAGAACAAATATTTTTAGGTTGTCACTTCTAGATTTTTCTGTTGTTACTGCCAACATTATATTCCCAATCCTAATCTAAAAAAAACTAGGATAAAACAGAGAATGAGGAATTAAGAGAGTCAGAAGGGAAGCATCTGTGACCATCAAGTTCCCTAGGGCCACAGACGAAGCATAAGACTACAGTTCAAGAAACAGGGCCCTTGCTATTTCAATTGCCTCTCATTTTATATGATTAGGAATTGGAATATCAATCATAAGATGATTATACACAAATCTTACTCTTTCTGTATTTCCTAATGTCAGTTAAAAAAATCTTACTAGCTTCACAATGATAGTTTCAGTAAAAGTGATGACATCATTCTTTCCTCTACAAATATTTTAAAAATCTACCATGTGAAAGGCAGTGTGTTAAATCATGGGGATAAAATGATGAGAAAGACAAAACTGTCATTTTCTACCATAAGACACTTACAGTCTAATGGGGGAAATGGACTCTGCTGGGCCTTTCAATCCTGTAAGAGAGCGTCCCCAACCTTTTTGGCACCAGGGATGAGTTTTGTGGAAGACAAGTTCTCCATGGGGTGGGGCTGGTGGGTGGGAGGTGGGGGGACAGGAGGTGCAGCTCAGGTGGTAATGCCAGTGAAGCTTTGCTTGCATGGCTGCTGCTCACCTCCTGATGTGTGGTTGGGTTCCTAACAGGCCATGGACCAGTACTGGGCCCGGTCTGCAGCCCCACAGGTTGAGATCCCTGCCGAGAGAGATGATGCAAATGGAAGATAAAAAAACAAGGTGCTATGGGAGCATACAGTAAGAGAATTAATGCAGCCTGGGGTGGGGGAGTGGGTTGTGAAAGAAGACTTCTTGTTGGAGGTGGTTACTTAGCTAAATCCTGAAAGGCTCAGGATTCTATTTAGCCAGCACATGATGGAGAGGGAACAAGGCTGGGAGCTAATATGCCACATGCTATTGGGTTTGCATTTCTTTGGATAGCAATGGGGAGCCACCAAAGCACGTGAAACAGAAGGGTGACATGATTAGATTTGAATTCTTTAGAAGATTCTTCTTGCACTTTGGAGAATGAATCAGAGGTGGATGAGACTGAAAGCAGAGGGGTTACTGCAGTATGGTGGGTCAGAAATGACAAAGTCTAAGGAGTAAGGACAGAGAAAGCAGCCAAATTTGGGAAGTGAAATATTACGTTTAGCTTAGCAACTTAGTAAACCAATCCCTGCATCCATAAGAGAGGAGTCAAGTCAAATATCCTCATTAAAATACCCATTTTCTATTCCGCTTAATACCTAGAAATGAGTATGCATGGAAATTTTGCTGAGTGCTAGAAATAATGTTAGTGAATGTTATATGAGTATTTAAAAGTCTACAGAGGAGAGGGAGACCTGAGATAATGAGAGAAACTGAAATCTGGATGATGAATCGAGCAGAAACTTAGGGGTTTAACTGGCTGAATGGTTTACAGTTCTGCCAAGCCCGAGCCAGGTAAAGCTAGTGGAATACTGCTGGTGCCACACAAAGACCACGTGAAGGTCGGCTGCTTCACATCATCAATCTAGATTGCAGAGAGCCCTCAGCATGGTGCCTTACATAGCATATTCCTGAGGAGCAGTGACTGAGGACCAAAGAATGAGGAGGCTGTGCAGCTGGGGCCTGGGCCTGAGGCTGCAGCTGCTCGGCTAGTTCAGCCCACGGCTCTGGAACCATTTTAGAAAACTTTTGCACTGTGATCTGATGTGATTCAGTTTGTACATCTTAGGGTTGATATATTTTAAATTTTCTCTCCTTATAATGATAATAGTCAATATTGATCCAGTGCTGAGTTATGTACCAGACACCATGTTTCCATGTATTAATGTAAGTGTAGACTCATTGAAAGTTTGACTTGGAAGGAGCTTGAGCTATTCTAGTCGAAGGAGTCCTGACCCAAGTGAGAAGAAATGAATACTTTGCCATCTATTAGTTGTAAGGCCCAGAGTAAGCCATGACTTTCTCCAGGTCTGTTTTCTTCTTTGGTAAGGTGGTGAGATACAGGACATGATGAATAGGTTTCTGTGTCAGTGCCAGCTCCGAACCAGCTGTCCGGGGGCACTGTGTGAAGTGGGATTCTGAGCCAGTGTGGGTGAGTGCTGCGATCCGTCAGCAGTGTCTGCCTGCCACCCTGAGCTGGGGAGCAGGGGTAGGCATGTCTCCTATTTGCCACCTTTAGCTAAAGCATCGCTAAGGTCCTTTCCTGCTCAAATTATTTGGATTCATGGTTCCAGCCCAACTGTCTCACTAAGTGTAGCCTCTTTACAAATTAAAAGAGTAAAATTTAGCTTAGGAACCTCATATACCTCATTTCTATCACTGAGTATATAGCCTTGAATAAGTAATTTAATCTCCTTAAATCTCTGTTTATTCATCTGCAAAATAAAGACAGAATACTAAACATGCATAGTCATCTTAAGAATTAAATAAAAATATGTAAAACACGTAAAACAAACAAAAAAACTCTGTATGCACTGGTATTGAAATGATGCTGAACCACTTGTAACTAACATGGGAACAGCAGATTTTTTGCAGAAAAAATATTTCCACTTCTCAAAATGTAATGTTTGTTCACATTCAAGGCACCCAGTTCCTTACAAGAAGGCATTTGCAGGGTGCTCTTCTTTCCCCATAATGGCAACAGGCAGATTTAAATAATGTCATCAAAACAGGAGGACTTCCCTTGTTATGCTAACCTCAAACTGCTCAGAGGAGGCCATGGTGAGTTTTCAAAAGGGATCCAGTTTTCCAGATATTTGAATTTGCTGTGTGAACAATCAGAGCTTCTGAGATATCTGTACTGATCACATGAACCAGTAAACAGACTTTGCAATGTAAATGCAATTCCCACACTTAGAAACTAATCAATTTTTTCTTCTTGAGGAATTTTGGAAGTAAATGAAATAGAAAAAATCATGATAAAAGATGAGTACTTAATTATTCTTCAAAAGGGAGAGTGCTGTTGTTTTATTTCTAATTTTGAGTAATAGGTTGAATTAAAAAAATCATTAAAATTCTACCACTCAGAGCTAAGCACTGTTAATATTTTAGTAATATCCTTCCAGCCCTTCCACTATGTAGATACATTTGAAAAGTAACCTTTACATATATTAACACATTTCATCTATTGCATTTCTATGGTACAGGATTATAACACACATACTGTTTCACTGCTATTGTATATTATCCCACAATCTGGTTGCTTTCATGTCAGTAAGTATAGATTGACATCATTATTTTTCATGGCTAATAAACCATCTTTTTGATCAACCATTTCTCTTAGGTAATTGGTTTATTCCAATATTTTGTTACTATAAACAATGAGATTAATGTTCTTGCACATATATCTTTGGACCCTTGTCTGATTATTTCCTTATGGCATATTTCTAGAAGTTTCTTGCTGAGTTAAAGGGAATAAATTTTAATAATTATTGCCAGATTGTCATCCAAAAGGATTATTCCACTTTAAACTCTTTTTTTAAAAAAGATTTTATTTATTTATTTATTTATTTATTTATTTATTTATTTATAGAGAGGGAAGGGAGGGAGATAGAGAGAGAGAGAGAGAAACATTAATGTGCGGTTGCTGGGGGTCATGGCCTGCAACCCAGGCATGTACCCTGACTGGGAATTGAACCTGCGACACTTTGGTTCACAGCCCGCTCTCAATCCACTGAGCTACTCCAGCCAGGCCACTTTAAACTCTTATAAAAAGTGTATGAGAATGTTTGTTTCCCAACATGCTTGCTGTGGTGATTTTAAAACATGTCCACAGATTCTGACACTTTTCTCCTGGGATACTTCCTGGCTCTGGGAGCCTTTGGCTGCAGGTAAGAAGTCCAATGATCCTCAGAGACCACGTACACAGGAGACACTGGAGAAGCCTCAACTGTTACCCAGCAGCTGTGTAACTCTTGCCAGCTCAAACACCAGACTCGTGAGTGAAGAAGCCTTTCAGATTATGACCCCAGCCCCAGCTGCTGTTTGGATGCAGAGGTGTAAGACCCTGAGCAAAAACTGCCTTGCTAAGCCCAATAACTCCCAGATTCCTAAACAAAATTAATAACCACGATTTTAAACAATCACTGTTTGGAGGTGATTTATTATGAAGCAACTGACAATTAGAATAGTTACAACACAGAGCAGTATTAATTAAAAAAATTATTTTTTGTCAATCTGGTGAACAAAAATTGCTATTATTATGATTTTATTTTAGTTTATGATGTCTTTGACTGTGATGCTAAATATCTTTTTCATGTATTAATTGGTCAACTGTATTCTTTGACAAAATTGATGATAATTGGCTTGTAAAGGTCCTTAGATTTTTAAAACCTGAAACCTTTGCCTGCAACATGAAACAAAAATATTTCTTATAGTTTGTTGTTTTTATCATGTGGAGCCTTCCTCACTCTTTGGTAGTTTAACATTTTATTTCTTTTTTAAATCCTCACCTGAAGACATTTTTTCATTGCTTTTAAGAGAGAAGGAAAGGAGGGAGAAAAGAAGGGAGGGAGGGAGAGGGAGAGAGAGAAACACCAACCTTCTAAGCCTAGTAGTTATTCTAACACCACTTTTTTTTTCCATCCTTGCCAGAGGGCATTTTGTCATTGCTTATTTTTTTTTAGAGGGGGCGTAGAGCGAGGCCTGGGGGAGAGGGAGAGAGATGGCAGGGGGCGGGGGAGAGAGGGGGGGAGAGAGAGAGAGAGAGAGAGAGAGAGAGAGAGAGAGAGAGAGAGAGAGAGAGAGAGAGAGAAATTGACTGGTTACCTTCTCCTATGTGCCCAGACCAAGGACTGAACTCACAACCTGGGTATGTGCCCTGATCTGGAATTGAACCTGTGACCTTTTGTTTTAGAGGATCATGGTCCAACCAGCTGAGCCACACAGGCCAGGGCTTAACACCACTTTTTAATATGCTTTTCTCCCATCAATCTGAGCAGCCACCTTTCTCATTTGATAATTTCCATGTATATATGGACTCATGTCCCTCTAGATTATATAACCTATTTTATTAAAAATATTGTCAAGAGAGAAAGTTTTGGTTTAATTTTTTCTTTTGGAAAGAAAATTTGAATACATACTACTATGTAAGAAATTTGGGCAAAGTAATGCATATTTAAATTTTAATCTTATAACTGAACAAATACCTTTCTTGTACTATACCATTTACTTCATATTTTTATGTCTTCATGTATTTCAATTTCATGGTTTGAACTAAACAAAAGAACTAAATAGCATGCCACTATCTTGAAATATTCTTTGTCACATCATTTTAAACTTAATAGACAAGTATCATAAAAATAATGTCAGGGATTTTCCTATATAAAATCCTGTTTTCATTGAAGTAATTGGACTATAATTCTTAACCAATTCTAAGGTATACTTATGAATAAATTGCTGATAAAGGACTTAGATAACTAGTCCAAATCAGCTAGATGGTATAGCAGACCTCATAATCAAAATGATTATACCTATTTTTTAGGTTCATATTAAGAAAATGCATGTAGTAGAAACTATTTTACACTACTTATGTATTAAGAATGATGGTTCAAAGTTCAATGGTTCCTCACTCTTAAAGATATTACTACCCTAATCAATGGCCAATGCTATAATGACTACCTCTTACATAGCAGCTACCAACTCTGTAAAGTTATTCATTCTAGGCAAAACTTAGAAGAAAGGTCACTGTTTTTCCTCTACAAAAGGAAAATTTTTTTTTCAAATTGGTTTTAATTATAAAGGATGATTTTTAATCTTCCTCAAAAGAAACCTACTTAAAAACAAAAAACAAAAAAACCCAAATAAGATCAAGGAGTCCTATACCTTATGGACTTAATAATACATTAGTAACATAGGACCCAAAGATCTTAGTTCTCAGCTGTGCTTGAACTACAACTTTCTTATATCTGATAAAATGACTAAGGAACTATGTCTTTTTTATTTATGTGAAAGATAACATTTTTAAAAAATTAAAGTTTATAATATATCAACTATGACATGCTGCCAATTGACATTAGAATATGCCTACAAGTTATTTCTTGAACTAGAAATACATATGTAATTACAACACAATTTCTATTGAAATAATCCTGTTTTCATACTGAGTCATCTTTTGTCACCTACTTAAAACTTTTTATCTTGTGAGTCAATATCCTTATTTGTTCATAGCACTTACAGTAAAGAATGTTTAACTATGAAACTCCACAGAGTCATTGTAGGTTAAGGAGAAAGAGTACTGATCACAGGTCAGAACTAGTAACGGTGGTGGGTAGGTGGTGGTAACCACACCCATGGCTTCTAAAAATATGTGGCAGTATAAAAGGCCACTTCCACTTTCTTAGTTGGATTATCTCCTAAGTCAACAAAAGGCACGCACTAACTACGCTTAGTGTAAAATTAAAAAATATAAGCTTACAAGTAAATTTTGTCTGCTCAAATTCAGAGTCACCAGGAATTATTTTACTACCCACCTTGACTCAAAATCCCAATTGTGAAGGAATGCTATATTGAAACAAAGGAGCACACCTGCTGATTCACTGGCGGCTGATTTACTTCTCTTTTTTGTGTCTGGTAGAGGCTGGTACAATCTTTGTCCCACGTGCTCATCCCCTGGGATAGCTGTCAGATCGTGCATACTCAGACTCCGTAAGCGCTCAGTAATTACCCCTTGGCTCTATTCAACAGAGAGTGAGAGATCCAAGAAAGAAAAGTATACTTTTTACATTTTGCTTTATTTTTTATCACATATCTACCATTTATCCATCATCAAACAATTTTTAATGCATTTCAAAGTGAATTGTAGACATCAGTACATCCGGTTTTTATTTAATTTTAAAGTATAAAATATGTATGATGAGCTTACCCTCAGAATAAACAGCACCCATAATTTTTATCTCTTAAAGATAGTATTTGGGGCTTAAGTTTATGATTTAGAAGAACATTTTAAAGTAAGAAAGATACGGTTGTAAGCTAAACTAAGTCAGAAGTGGTAATGTTACTACCTAGAACAAGGTAAAAAAAAAATTAAGAGCCTAAGAATTCTGGATACAAAGTGACAATCAGTTAATGAGTGCACTACTTGGGAAGGCATATCTACAACTATACAATTTGACTTTAAGCCATTTTAACAACATGGTGGACACGAAACACATGTGGCTATTTAAATTTAAATTAACTAAAATTAAATAGACTACAAATCTAGTTCCTTAATTGCACTAGCCACATTTCACATGCTCAGCAGCCACATGTGGCCAGTGGCTACTGTACTCAGTAATGCAGACACAGGACGTTTCCGTCACTGCAGAAAGCGCCATGAGTACATCAGTGCACAGCTCAGAGAGGGATGTTTTTGAACCTTTCAAACATAACTAGATTTCCCCTCAAAGTATAAAGCTTTGTAAGAGGGGAAAAATTCTGAATTTACTCACTTTGAAAATTTATATGGCATTTAAATGACTCATTTCTTATTTATAGCTGGATTAAAAATACTCTTCTAATGGTTTTTTTACATTTATTTCTTCTTCTCATACATGCTAATTTATGACTGCCTCTAGTTATAAAGCTACCACAGAAATTTGTTGATAAAGGTTTATCTCTAAGTTTCAAAGCCTATGGCACTACAAACATTCAAGTATTACTGCTAACATGCATTTTACACTGACGAAAAAGGTCTACATTCAGCTACTCTGAATTAGTGATCTATTATGTTGAAACCAAATAAACGCTTTACCCCTCTTAAGCTTTGTAGTTCTACCATATTTTTTAAAGTTGTGAAAAGGGATTATTTAATTAAGGAACCTATATCCTCAATAAAAATAACTGGGTTTAACACATATTTAAATATTCTTGGCATGGTTTAATTCATTATACTTTTCCCCTCTTTATCAGCTATCATTTACTTACTAAGCAGATGGCTGATGGAAGATTTCAGATGCGTACTAAAAGGAAGTGACCAGTCGATCATCTGAAATAGATGCCTTGTTTTCTCAGAACTGACATTTTCTTTACCCCACCTGTTTCTTCTCTCAAAAATTCTTGCCTTTGTACATACTGCTACGCAAAGGCTAAATGACATACTCATCTTTGATACCCTCTGCTTGACTCAGGTGTAATTTTCAAGTCTGGCTGTAACTCCCAAACAAACCCTCCTACTCAAGATGGTACATCTCACAATGCAAATGAGTCAAAGTGCCATAGAATCAGCTTAGCTTTGTATCATACACAAACTTTGGTATCTTTGAGTACAATCAACTAATTACTTAGGGCATTTCTCACAATGAACTTGAACATTATTGTTAGTTCTATTGTTGTGTCGTGTATGTTTTGCCTCCAGAATAAGGTTTTAATAAACTAGATGAGATAGATAAATCTTAGGCTTCCATTCTCCTAATGTACCTAGTATGGTACTGATATTGAACAGGTAATAAACTACCCTTTTTATGCCCCTTCCTTTTCATTACTCTTGATTACAAAAGTTCTCCATAGACAGCTACTCGTTTAAACGTAAACACTGGCCTCTTTATGCAGAGAGGTTTAGCAGCAAACTACAGGTATGATGATCATGGGTATCTACATAGGTAGACTATACCATCCATCAGAGGTTTTTTTTCACGTTTAAAATGAAGGTAAGCAATGACTTACTCTGAGGTGTCTGGGTGATCTATTTACAGCATAGATTTTAATGTAGCTCTTGAGTAACCTACCCTAAAGCCCTAAATATTATCAATCTCCTCAAGGTTTCAAGAAAGGCCCGGAAAAGCAAAACAGGCTGTGCACCCCTTTTGAGGACCCCCAATACTTCAACAGCCATTATCACCTTGAAAAATCAAAAATTTCCACTGTATATTTTCTTATGGGCCTAAAATAGAGCTAATATGGAAAGAGAAAATTAATGCACTATTGTGAACTTAAAAAACATTATATAAATTGTAAGTATCCAAGCAGAGGTCTAATTATAAAGTCATTACAGATAAATGCAGACCCATTCCTTCCAATTTTTGTATCTTTAGCACAAAAAGTCTATATTTAAAAAGGAATGATGTTTGTAATAAAATAAATGCAAATACTTCCCCTCTACCTGAGAATTCTAAATCACATGCATAATATGATTACAAGTATGTAGTAGACAGGGGGAATATGCAAAAGTGAACAGTGTAACCTTTAGGCAGGTGGGATGGGCGATTTTTTTCAACAATTTCTTTAATATTGCAAAATTAACCACATATGGTATAGTGAAATTTTAATTGTAATGAGATGCATAATAACAATTTCTGATTCATTTCCTACTCATTTTTCCTACATCTAATTCCTTGCTCTGTTAATTAAAAGAAAAATGGTTTATCTATTTTGAGGGCACAAATAGGACATTATAGTCATTTGTCAACAATGTTAAAAGGTGTTGAGGTTTTGTTCAAAAGTAATAATGTTTTGTTTATCTTCTTTTATTTGCTTTATGTAATATTAAGCCAAAAGTATACGAAAAATGAAGAACAGTTCTAGTCAAGGAGGAGAATACGTGTGGAAACAGCCTTCTTAGTTGATAAGGAGAGTTATCATCCATAAGGATATTCTATATCCCAGCATTCTACAACATATTTTCTGCAGAACCGTATTTACACTTTGTATGTTAAAATGGATCCTAAAAATCAAAGAGAAAGTAACAGAAAGATTATGGTAAGAATGTAAAAGTAAACGTAATTAAGAAGTATCTTACAGAATATTTTATATTAAGACTGATCATTAGCAGAAATATTTCTACACCCTCCAGTGGCTCAGAGTTCTTAGGGTCTGAATGGGATGGGCCCAGAACACCCAATTAAGAAGCTGAGAACACTACAGGGGTTTGCCTGGTTAGAAGGGCTGGGACCAGATGGAGTACGTGGAAGCTCTGGGAACTTCAGCTGAGAACCAGAACCTGAGATGTCTCCACACAGAGCTCTTATTCACACCCAAGGGCACCAGGACATCTGAATGTTACTCAAGTGTCCAGGACTGTGGCTGGCATTTGTAAAAAGGGACCCTGCACGTATGACTAAATCTAACTTTTTACACTCAAATAGTTCTGCTTTTGTTGAAGTAAATTTATTTTCTGGTCAAACATCACATTGAAATTACTATATTTTGTGTTAAATAAGGGGAATTTATTGCGCTTTTTAGCATCTTTGTAAAAAACATTCTATTATCTTTATATTTTAATTAAATGTTTAAAATCATAATCAGCAATGCTTTATAAGCTTATAAGCATATAAAACAATCTTTTACAAAACAGTTCTTACTATACTGTTTAATAATGAATAGCCATTAAGCTCTATTTCTGTTGATCCTTGACGTATTACATTATAATTGCTGATAAGGCTAATTTCCAGATTTTAGAAAATCTCTTTTCCCTATGGACGTTCAACAATTAATCTGATCAAGATTAGAATATAATTGACTGCATTTGTATTAAGTGAATAATATATTTTAGTGGTTTTAAAGTGAAACAATATATACTTATCAAAGTAATTGTACAGACAAGAATATACAAAAGAAAAATTATTTGTAATCTACCACCAAAACTACCCATACATATTTATATATCCTTTTAGCTTTTTCTGACTCATACTTTCAGAGCATCATACTTTCTCAGCTTCAGCACTACTGCTATTTTGGGCTGCATTACTGTTTGTTGTAAGGAAACTGTCCGGTGCACTGCAGGATATGAAGTAGCATCCCTGGCCTCTACCCGCTGCCAGTAGCAGCTTCCCCTCCCTCAGTTATGAGAACCCAAAATGTCTCCAGACACTGTCAAATATCTCTTGGAAGGCAAAATCAACCCCGTTGAGAACTACTCTTAGAGGGATAAGGAATTTTAAAAGTTAAGTGTCACCCCTTTGTTTTACAGGAAAGAAAATTAATACTTAAGATCAGTGCAAAATTGTCCAAAATCTCATGGTTAATTCATGACAGGATCAGGACTAAAAAAATGCAAATCAATTGTCTGCTAGAGAATTCTATGTTCATTATAACATTCTGCTTCCTAGATGATAGAAAAAAATAGCATGACCTTTTCTCCCATTGTCTGAACAGCTGCTTTTTGTAAAAATTGCTAATAAGCAGCTAAACATCATCAAATATTTTCACAAACAGAGAGCCACTAAAATAGCAAGATGTCAGGATCTTTGACCTAATCATGAACACTTAAAGTCAATTGGAGTTCATCAGTTTTACCTGTAAGGCTCTAATTTCTGTGATAATTGATTTTTTGAAAATAATATCTGCTAAAGAATTCACCCCAGGCTGCCAGAGAGAAAGCTAAGAGGTGGTTAATATGACTGGCAGTAGTGTTGTTCATCTGTACAAAAGCCACCTGCATCTCTCACGTGAAAAGCTATGAAATGCTGAACATCCTCAGCAAAATCCTTGAAAGTCCTTCATATGTTTATGCTTTGCTCAGCCAAAATAAACTTGTACACTGACCTTGTGAACAGATGCCTGGTAATGAGGTCATAGAACTGAGTAACATTTTCAGAAAATTGCTTTACGGTGTAATAAATGCTCTGATTAAATTCCTATTTTCATCTTTAACATGGTCTGGCTCAACCTGGGAAACCAGTCAGGGGCATTACCAATATTTAAAGGTCACACCAAGAGTCCAAATATTTTTAGCCTAAAAGATATTTTTAACAAACTATATATTATAAAATTTTTAAATAATTATCAAGTCTTCCTACTGGCTTTCTTGCAGTTTCTCCTCAAACTTGACCTATTTTTTATTTCAGTTTCAATTTATTCCTTAGTATGAAGTGTCTGGTTCAGTGATTCTTCCGTCACAGTGTCTTTCTTTGACATCTCCAGAGATGAAATTAATTCCAGCTACTTTAAAATAGGTCCAGTACAACTCGAAGCAAATAGAGTTACCACTGTGTTAGGTTCAGCATATTCCTAAGGAATACAATCCAGGATAGTGGAATTAACCTTCCCGTGCTCACGCTGAGAATGGCAAGGGCTGCCTCACATGCAGTGATCGTGGTAACAAAAGGATCAAGACATAACAAGCCAGAAGGGAAAGTTCCGCAATGAAGTCCAGTTATGGGATAAGTGCTGGTTTTGCAGTGTAACTTAGATGATCTTTATGCTGCTTCCTGTCTCTGAAGGGAGGAGGTAGTTTTAAGTTAAATATATAAATAAAAACAAACAATGAATCATAAAAAAGACAAAGGAATCATATAGGTATATGATAGCTTTTTATAGCCTTTCTACAGAAAGATTTCTGTGAGATGTTTGTTTTGATAACGAAGGGCAAGGGGAAGCTCTTAGCAACCAATGATGAGATGGAATTTTTTTAGTTAGTGTATACAGACATTCAGCCTGTGAGGGCAGGGACTGTATCCATCTCATTCAATGCTGCATTCTCAGGACCTACCATATAGTAGGTATTAAATAAATGAATGTTGAATAAATATATAGGATGCTAAATACTGATGGCAGAAAAGCATAACATAAAAATAAACGAGGAGGGGTTGGTAAGGATAAGATAATATAGTAGAGATTTCTGATTCCCTACATAAAGATTTTGGAAATAGTAAATTAAAGTCAAAATAAAATAAATATCCCACAAAATAGTCACAAAACATGAGAGGGTATCTCATGAAGTAGTAGGAGTATAAACTGTATTTAAGTGAGGAGGGGGAAAAAAAGGAATTTGTATGCTTCTATGATTCCCAAAACAATGTTCTAAAATGTCTATATGTTCTAAACAATTCTTCAAGTTGAAATTTAATTTTTAGTGTTTCACTGAAGAATCGTACTGAATGATGATGCTTTTTAAATAGGAAAAATTCAGAAAGCATCTTCTTTGGGGTGTGAATAAATACAAGCCCTTGGTCCCCTTCTCCTTTCCATCCCCCCGCACCCCCGCAGGCAGCCAGTGTCCACCCTCTACTTTCCTGTGCGGCAGATGAGGGTTTTAATCCTCTTCTACCTCCTCTTCCTTTTCCCCATCCTTCCAACAGAGAAAAATGACAGTTGCAATCTACAGTGTGTTCTCATGATTATGATGTAAGTGCTATTCACTGCTGAACTGAGTCATGCTTATTATATTTTCTTTTTTCTGTATTTTGCCAGAGTTACAACGACCCCTTTTCCATATTGCATTTGCTTGGTAGTCAGTCCAAAGCTCTCCCTCTTCATGTGGCCTCCACTACATTTTCCACGGTGCTCAGGGCTGAGGTGCAGCTGCATTGTGGTACCTGCCCCCTATAGCCAGTGTGTCCTCTGATTGGTCACAGCATGGGCTGAATGATTTAAGTATCACCCCCGCATAGGATTAAACCTATCAGATACTCTTATCACCATGCTTTTCTCAGAGACACCTGTCCTGGCACCCTTTGCCCATCCCATCCAATTCTGGCTGGCTGTCCTCTGGACTTGATATGTAGTGTTCATTCTGGGAATTCCTGTCACCCTCCTTTTGTGGTGAGTACCCAACTACCCAGGTCCCATGGGTTTTCCTTTATCATGGATTACTCCCTAATTTTAGCAGAGCATATCCCCTCCCTGACATAGGATGCACAAGAGGTAAATTTTGCGACTATGCATGCCTTAAGTAAAAATTTTATTTTAAGGTGACATGTGACTGAGACCTTGACTGTTTCAGAATTTGAAGGTGAAAATCATTATGGTATCTTGGATGGCATCAGTCTTTCATCTTCAAGCTTCCATTGTCACTAGTTAGAAATTAACGTCTTTCTGATTCTAGATCACTTGAATGTGACATACCTTTTTCACTTGGAATCTGTAAGAATTTCTTCCTTATCTCCAGTGTTTTGGAATCCTTTCCTGTATTTTGCCGTGTATAGTGTGCACCTACGTTTTTGGCCCAAACTTTCAGGAAAAGAACTTTCATTTTAACTTTTTAATTCAATTATTTATTTATTTATATTTAGAAACAAAACCGATGATCATATTCCAGGATATTATTTTGCATATGGATATCATTATTGTTTTCTAGAGTCACACTTTTAGCACATAAGCATAAATAAAATAATTAAAACCATTTATATAGATACAGAATTTGTATTACCCATGTATAATGCACATCCTTATTTTCCCCTCAAAAATTTGGGCAAAAAAGTGTGCATTGTACATGGCAAAATACGGTAATAACTTTGCTCAAGAGTAGATCCACTTAGTCTTTTTTTTTATTCATTGTGCTGGGTACTTTCTGGACCCTGGAAATATGGAGATTCATGTCCTTCAGTTCTGAGAAATATTATTGTATTATTTCTTTGATAACTGTATCTGTTGTCTCTTGGTAGCATTCCTGCTTGTTGAATGTTAGATCTCCTGGATGATCTTTTTTAGCAGATATGGAAATTAGAAATGCATGTTCATTAAGCAAGAAATAAAAAGCAAATGCATTTCTTAAAAAATGGAAGAGTCCTTAAATAAGCTGAATATATTGCTATTTTAGTATCTGTTTATATCTATATGAATAAAAAACTTTCAAAAGCCAAAAATAGTCAATCTATACTAAAGTGCTGATAATCAATAGTGCTGTATAGTTACTGCTTTCACTTAATCCTCAATGTAACATTTCTAGTATATAATGTCAATTTCTTATCTTGCTGGTCATATTAATTGGGATACTTGAGCCAAAGATCACTCTGAAAAGAGAAGGATTATTTTAGGAATTCCATTTGACATTTTACCTCCCTTTGCCATTACTATTATACAAAATCATTGTTTAACTAGAATATTTATTTCCATAAATGGAAATAAATTGTTTTAGTTCAAGACAACTAAATTGAAAATGTCTAAGTCAAAAGCTAGAATATTATTTAGTCTCAATTTAACTTAATAGCAACAGACTCAAATTTTCCCTTGAACTGAGATAGGTACATAACATTAATGCTCACTGGGCTCCTACTGTGCTCTCACAGATAGGTATATTACTCCCATTTCATACATGAAGCAACTAAGGAATACAGAAGTTAAGTAAATTGCATATGGTTATTTAGAAAGTCACATTCAGCACTTTTTGGGTCTGAAGTCTGTTTTCTTTCCACATACTATACACCAAAATCAATTACACTATTGCATTTAAAATAAACCACACTAATTACTACATGCAAAGAAATCCAAAAGCCACAATGCAAGTTTTCACAGAGGCACTCATTTCATAACTTGGCTTGCAAAACACAACACATGACATTAGTATTGGCTAAGTAAAATCTCAAGTTTTAAACACAGAATTTTTTCATGCCTTATTTTGAATAATCAGTTACCTCAAATTGGTTGAAGTAGGGGTGCAGAAGTAAGCCAGAAATCCTACCAAGATATTGCCACCGAGAGAGAACACCAGAGACAGAGAAAGAAAGATTGGTCATCTTTACTAACAGTGATTTACTCAAACTACTTTAAGGTTCTAAAGTAGGAAAGTTACAACAAAATGACATTTTCTGGTATGTTTTATTTATTAACTAGCTCTCATCTTGTGATCAATTAAGAGATTCAAAATATTTAGTTATAGAAAATGCATAAGAATGCTTGTAAAATTAGGTACTTGTTCTTCCCAGTTTTACGAAAATAAACAGAAAGCAAAATTCTGCCAATGTTTCATGATCTGACAAAAAAGCCACCCTACTTTAGCTGTTGACTTAATGTGCTATTGGATAAAAAATGTAAATAAAAAGTTACCTTCACCGCTGCAGTAACAGCAGCAGTAGCTGCTAAGTTTAAACCTTGCCGCCCAAAGTTTACCATCGTCTCATAGCCTCGTTCCTTTGCTTGCACAATATAATCATCAATCTCCTGGAAAAAAAAATCCAAACACATAGATATTAATTTTACTTAAGCAGAGTGTCCAGAAGCCCAAAAACAGGGATTCCCTCATAATATAAACATTTCACAAACATTATAGCATAAAGCATGTGATTTGTGCAAATAATTTATATATCTTACCCTTTCCTTTGAAGAGAGAAGTGGATGAAGCAATTTTCTGTATATTAAACTTGCTCCTTTGGTATAGGGAGAGAGCAGCCATATGACAAAAGCAATCTTAAGTTCATAGTACAGGGGGAACCTAATAAGAAGAAATTTGAAAAAAATGCCTGTGAAAACAAAACTACAGACAACGAGCAAATAACAAAAAAACTTTAAAGAGTTCAAACAACTATGTTTGAATCGACAAATCAATTTCATTAAATATAGATCAGTTAACGCAAGAGCAACCTGATTCTTGCAGAGATTCACACCTTCTAGTCAAGATTCTTCCTTTTAGCAAGCCTATGGATGCTGGCAACTGAGTGCTCAGCTCCAAGAGGGCACTGACACACATTAGCCAGGGCAGTAAGGTCCATTCTTCCATCTGCAGAGCCCACTGCCACGGCGTACCTGTGCACCTCCAATTACCAGGACACGAATTTATACTCTCCAAGTGCACAATGTTACCCCATACGCTCATTTTCTCATCCTCAGAGCTCTCAGAAAACTTCCCTTTTCAACTCATTTGGCCAGAATTGCAGCACTTTGCAGACCTAAATTGTTCACTCACACAAGAAATGGAACTGCCACTGTGGTAGACTGGGAATTAGGGTTAGATCGAACCCATGTCCTTTACCATGAATCTTTGCAGTGTCTTCCTTGTAGGCTGACTTCACTTCCCTAAGCAGTAACTGTGGGTTTAACCATGTGACCAGCTGTTGAAAACAGAATATAGCATGCCACATAATTTACATGCCCTTTGACTCTCTCACCCCCAACACCTCCATACCCTTGATTTAAACTTTTGCTTTCTGCTGTGACAGCAAGTGCTCCCCCAGTCTTGGTCCCCAAAAGAAAAGACACTTAAAATAGTCAAGCCTAGCAAACAGCAATGACCACTTGCCCTCGTGCAGTTTGAGCAGGAAATAAATGTTTGTGTTTTGAACTTATTCTGCTCTTAGGGTTGTTTGTTGTCATAGCAAAAGTTAACTAATACAGCATGAGGGGATCAACATCCTGTGGTCAAAGAAGCACTATGATACACAATAACTGAAAAATCTGGGCTCTTCTTAAGGGACAGATGGGTATCAGGCAATAAGACATGATGACTGACGACTGTGCAGTCAAAGAAAAGGTCTCCGTGATGGTGCAATCACAGAGGGGTATCTGGACTCTCACTGTGGTAAACGTTCCCTGAATTGTTCAGATTTTAATAGTGTATGCTATATTTGCAATCAGCAAAAAACCTGAAATCTTTAAAAAGAAAACTTCGACACTTAAGAGATCTAGCACATTTTGGAATCTGCCATTTAAAAACAAACAGAAAACCCTCTCCCAAACCCCTATATCAAAAACATAACAAGTAGCCGTGGCTGGTGTAGCTCACTGGATTGAGCACGGACTTCGAACCAAAGCATCGCAGGTTCGATTCCCAGTCAGGGCACATGCCTGGGTTGCAGGCCATGGCCCCCAGCAACCGCACATTGATGTTTCTCTCTCGCTCTCTTTCTCCCTCCCTTCCCTCTCTAAAAATAAATAAATAAAATCTTTAAAAAAAACATAACAAGTAAATGAATGATCTTCAGGACAGAAGAGGAAAGAGAAAGATGGATGAAGATACATTACAGAGAAGTTCATAAGTAAGGGCAGATGCTAAGCACATTTAACTCTGATGACTTCATTTTTTCCTAGCAATCCAGGGTAACCTAATGTGCCGTGAGGATGTGATGAGAACAGCAAAGTCAGAAAGACAGTTCGAGGAGAGAGGAGTAAAAGCCTGAAACAGGTACAAGACGGAATGGGAGTAGCAATGGACCAAAAACAAGTAAAAGGAAAAGTGAGCTCAAATTGATACTTATATGAGCAACTGATTGATTTTTTCCACTCATTCAGTAGCCTGGAAAAGAAGTCAAAAAGAGCAATTGGGCTTATTTAGGCCAAAGATTTTACAGCAAGGACAGCTGATGAAACTGGCAAGGTGGGAAATGCACAGATTCTGAAAGGAGGACTTGTCTGGTGATGGCCAGGTCTGGATAGAAATGCACTCCTGAAATCCAGCACAAGGAGATGCAAGTTGTCCGACGAAGTCTCTGCCCCTCAGTAGAATGTTAAATCCTTGTGGATACAAACATGCTTTAATTTTGTCTCAGAGGTTTGGAATAGAGCAGCTCAGGAGCTGGTGGTTAGTGGGTGTCTGCATGGATGCCATCCAATTTGAATGTAGATGAGAGTTTTAAGGACGGGGAGGGAGTGCTAAAACCAGATGCTGTGGGTGTCAAAAGAGGCGGCTTTTAGGAAGTGATAAAGAAAAACAGCCTGAAGTCATCAGTGTAAAAAAAGATGACAACCAATTTCTCTATTCCAAGAGACTACACGATGTATGGGAGACGGGCAGAAAGTGGCACATGGGGAGAAGAACGAGCTGCCTTTATTGGAGAGGAACTGGAAGCAAAGCAATGTTCTTATGGGGAAACCGGATAAAGAAAATGAGACATTGGATAATTAGGCACTTGATCAAATGTACTAGGTCAACAGCAAAAAGCAGGACAAGAACTCAGGACACCATTTAACGAGTCTGTAGTATGGTCTTTTCTCAATACTAGAACTTACCAAGCAACTGTTTGATCTGCTACTGTTTCAATCACAGTATAGAGAGCAAAAACGATCCAGTACATCATCCATCGAACCTGGAAATAATAAAAATACTTATGAAATAAAAAAGTAAAATTATTTGTAACTGAATAATTACGTATCTCTCATATATACACATACATTTCTAAATGTACAGTATGTTGGACCAAGTGCAGAAGGTGATGGTTGAATTTTCAACAGATTTCATGTCTGAGTTCCTCACACCACTGCACCAACAGTCCTGGAGTACAAGAACCAAAGACTGCCCTGGCTGGTGTAGCTCAGTGGATTGAGTGCGGGCTGTGAACCAAAGGGTCACTGGTTCGATTCCTGGTCAGGGCACATGCCTGGGTTGCAGGCCAGGCGCCTAGTGGGGGTCACTTGAGAGGCAACCACACATGATGTTTCTCTTCCTCTCTTTCGCCTTCCCTTTCCCTCTCTCTAAAAATAAATAATTAAAAAAAAAAAAAAAGAACCAAAGACTAACAAATCTCAGGGCCCGTTACAATGTAATATAAGGATCTGAATGAAAGAATTGGAAAAATAGGATATAGTTCTCCTAACTAAAGGAAAGTTCTATAAAAGATCTCATTCTTTTCTATAATCTTCTTTTGGAAGGCTATCAACTATTTAATTATCATATAAATAATACAGTATAATATGGTAAGACCACATTCAATTTGCATTGGCTTTTTAAATTTTGCATTCCTATTTTCTCCATCTATATAAACTTTTCAGAAACTAAAGAACAATCCTGGATTTCTTATACCCAGAATGCTAGTTATGTACTTTGAAAATCTAAGGTTAGTGTCTTCTTCCTCTTTCCCTACGTATAAGCCTATCACCTCTCCTTTCATACACCCTTTTCTTCTACTCCATTACCACAATGGTAGTTGTGGACAGACTGAATGTTTGTGTCCCCCTCTAAGTTCATATATTAAAATCCTAGTCCCAAATGTGTGTCAGGAGGTGGGGCTACTGGGAGGGGATTAGGTCATAAAGGCAGAGCCCTCAAGAATTAACGTCCTTCTAAAAGGACCTCCAGGGAGCTCTCTCCCCACTTCCACGATGTGAGGACACAGCCAAAAGATGATGGTCTCTGAACCAATTGTTTTTCAATTCTCTCTCCCTCTCTTATACTCAGCACAGAGATCTCAAAGAACAGAGTATATCCCCATCTTTCCTGGGAAAGTGGAGGCTTAAATTAACTGGTCTCTCTCAAAGAAAGTTTAGGTAACTTTGAGAAGAGTAAATAATGACTTAAATAATTTTCCATTATTTCACATATTCATTATTTCACAATTTCATAACCATCATTCTGACTATGACCTTTCAAATGAAAAATAACAATAAATGATACTCAAAGGAGAGTCATAATTTGCCTGTTGATAGACTTGAGTGAAGGTGAAAGGGACTGTACAGGTGAGTAGTTATGGTGATGCGCCCTGAGAGTCTAGCTCTCAGATGGAGCAGAGCTGCTACACATGTCACAGATCTCAACAACACCCTTGCTTCAGTATAGTCAAATGCTTTTCAGTTTTCAAATAAAATTATCAAATTGATTTTAAAACCCACAATATAAGTAATTGCTTTAAACTATTATATATGATGTTTATCTCTTAAAAAGCAAAACATATTTACTTAGGTTGTGAGAATATTTAATAATGTCAAAAATAAAGGGTATGCTTTATGTCAAAAAAAGAAGGGTATGCTTTTTTAGTTAAAAAACAACAAACTATCCAGTCAATAGGGTATTTCTGGACATTTTTCTGGGAAATTTGCTAGTTTTCTATAAGGAAGACTCCATGGTTTTAAATTATCTTTAATGAATACATTCTTTGACAATACACTCTCTTAACTTCATGGAATTTTTGTTCTCCTTATTAGAAATATGGAGCTCAAGGACAGTTGAATCCAGGCAATAGTTAAATAAATTCATTTTGTGTGTGTGTGTGTGTGTGTGTGTGTGTGTGTGTCATTCACAGGCACAACCACAAAGAAAGTCAATGTTGAAAAGATATTGCTTCCTTTTTTCCATTAATGGATTGGGTTGGGATTTTATACCAAATGGTTACTCAGCAAAGCTTTTATTAAAACTATACCTCAAGGCTGCTCAGCATATTGTAAGGTTTTTGCCCAAAGAAAAAACAGAAAGAAGTCAAAGTTAAAAAAAGAAAGAAGAGGGCAAGTCACTAAATTATAAGTACAATTAAAAATCCGTGATGATAAAACATTCATTAGACCAGCAGAAAATGTCAATAACAAAATGCAGTACTAAAAAAAACTGGTAGGAAAACAGTCACACTGATAATCTTATAAATATATGCAACAATATAATGGAAATAAGTGCTATTAAAATAGCATGTAAATAAAAGCCAGTCACTTAACATGTAACTTTAATAAATTACAACCTACCTTTTAAGACACACATGCACACACACCCCCTTACTTTTAATCTTTCATATCAGACAAAATTTAGGCAATTCTTAAGGACTTGAGTGGCATCATTACATTATAATACTCATTGAAAAAGTACTGTAGCAAAACCTACTCATGTTGGGGGAACAGAAACAGGAATATGACAGCTTCTGTCCTCAAGAATTTAACATTTTACTGGGGAGAAAAATGAATAAATGACTGTGATTAAAAAAGAAGTTTATTAGATGCTCCAGCTCCAGGATGAGTCAAGATAATGCAAATTTAAGGAAAGCTTACTAAAGGGGCTATTTATAAAGTTGTGGGCAGGTTGAGGAAAATCAGTAAAGGATAGTGGCACACCCTTGAGCTGGCAAAGGCAGGGCCTGGCATCACTCCTAGGCACAAAGGAGGGATGAGTGGGAAAGGTTTCCCAGAACCCAGACAGGGTAACTGTAGGGAAGGGCTACAGCCTCAGGTAGTCACAGCTAGCCAGTGGGGCCAGGAAGTCTGATCACAATACTCTGACCTCATGTTCTCTCCTGCGTTCACATCTTTTGCAGGAGCCTCACCTGGGCCAAACCCAAAGGGAGGCCAGACCTGTCTGTATGGATCAGCCCCCTGGGCCATAAGGAAGGACAAGAAATGGAATGTGGAGGGGAAGCTCCAATGGGGGGACAGAAGGTTCCAGCATTACTCAGCATGTCAGCTCTTTGAAACATATCCAGAATGGAGTCCCTTCTCACCACTTCCACAGACACCTCCCCAGCCCAGGGGACCAGAATCTCCTTATGATTATTCCCATAGCTGTTCACTCTGCTTTGTTGGGTCTATTTTGCACAGAGCAGTTTGAGTTATCTCCTTAAAACACAAGCCAGCTCATGTCATTCCTCTGTTCAGATCCCTCTGATGATGGTCCCATTGGAAATCTCACTACAGCCTAGGGAGGCCCTATGGCTCTGGCATGGGCTGCCACTCTGGTCTCCTCTGGAATTCTTCCTCCTTCCCTGTTTTGCTCCAATCACATCAGAACTTTCACCGTCCTTTGTGTATGGATATCCTCCTGCCTCAGGGCCTTAGGATACACTGTTTCCTTGCCTAAAATGCTCTTCCCCTTGTGAAGAGCCTTCTCACTTGTTTCAGGTCTCTGCTTAAATAATTATCAAATAATTAATTAATCAAATCAATTATCAAATAATTTCCTAACCATTCTGCTTAAAATATCAATATCCTCCTAATTCCTTCATCTTGCTTTTTAGCACATATCACACATCATAGACACATCTAACAAATATTTACTCCCCCTCCCCACCTTTCCCTACTTGAATGTAAACTCCAAGACAGCAAAAACTTTGTTTTGTGCACTGCTGAATCCCCTGTGCTGGGCACAGAAGGTGCTCAGGAAATACACGATGGTGGACTGCTGATTGAATATGGACCTGCACATGGCTTAGTGTGCTCTTTTTTGTTGGGAGTGCAGAAAATCAGACAGCAGATAAGAGGTGAAGACATGAAGGGTAAACATAAACTAGTATTTTAAGAGATCTGATTTAAAGAGAAAAAAGGGAGAAAATAAAAAGTAGCATGAGGCAAAATAAAAGCATGTTTACGTCCTCAAGGATGGCACACTTTACCAGGGAGATGCTGAGATTCAAATTGTTAGAGAGCAGAGATACTTAATGGAACCAGATCCCAGATGAAACAGGCAAGAATAAGATTAGGAAGAAGAGCAGGCTCAAGAAAGAAACAGGGATGCATCTTTCTCGGGGCAAGGAGGAAAGAAAAGAATGGTCATGTTGGAAAGAGGGCTGAAGCGGTCGCAGTTGATGACCTCTACTTTTACTCTGCAGTAGAAGGGCAGACCACCTGTTGAGGCTGGGGATGAGAGGATTTAAGAGGAGCAGTAAAGGTTGAGAAAAGATGTTTATACAGATGGGAAAGGGGACAGCTTAGGGTAGAAGTGGAACAGATTATGTGACTGAGGATGCTCTCTGCTGCTCCAGGTGTTCAAGACGGGGCTACCATGAAAGGTCTAGGACAGTGAAACAAGAGGGAAACAGAGGTGACAGTGTGCTGTCCATAAGTAGGCATAATGATAACAGTGGAGGCTGAGAAGTGGCCCAACCAGGGCCAATGCTTCTCGGCCACATGTGTCCCATCCTCACCAATAGAATGTGAACTAAGGCTTTTGAGAAGTGGGTGTATCTCCCCCACAGCTAGTTCCCTCCTTCCTGCTGGCTGGGACATTACAGAACGGAGCCACCTTGGGAGCTCTTTGATGTTAAAGATGGGCAGAGCCCCAGTTCTTAAGAGGTTGCCTGAGGAGAAATCCTTGCTGAAGTGAACACCTAAGCTGGACAGTTACGTGAGAGAAAAATACATTTTCATATTCCTTCTGCATTTTTATTGCATTTATAATTATAACAGCTCAGCCTACCCTAACATGAAGGGTCATACTCTAATCTCTGTGGAGATGAGAAAGCAAGGCTATGTGAGCAGTGGTCCCAGAATTACGCGGGTGTCAGTCACAGTGCTGTGGCTGCCTTCTGTGGCACAGCCAGGGCCCTGGCCAGTGGTGATGGCTAATATTACCACAATGATCTAGAAATGGAGAAGAGGACTACCATTTTAAGAAATTCTG